CCTCTCTCTCGATCACACTCTTCTAGCTTATAGGTATATTATATACACGGAGGTAAGTACCATGAGCGATATTAGTTGTGACCAATGCGTCACAGAGATGTGTGTATAATATTACCATCAGTATATCACGTTTTCATGTACATAATATTATATGGACAGTAGTTTTTTATTTGACGTTAAACATTTTATCCTAGTATCAGTAAATACTATAGTGTTAAAAAAAAAAAAAAAAACATAATTTGTGTTATATTCTTTATAGTAAGTATCTACAACACTTTGGAAAAAAAATTTGATTTTCTCGATTTTATTGTAGTTATTTTTACAAAAATAGAAACTCAAAATGTACGGCCCTCTAGAAAAGTTCTTAAATCCTCACTAGTACAATGTTACAATTTTAACCTTCGTTAGAGAATCAATCAACACCAGCTATTATTTTTTAAATAACTCATCAAATTGACAAAAATATTTCCAGTTCCTACACATTATTTGCTGGCGTATAATATGCTAATATATTGTTGTAAATTATTATAATTCTCTCATTGCATTGTATCTTATTTATAAATCATATGTTATTTTCACACAGAGATTATATTGTAGGTTTATTTTGTAATTTTTATGTTTATTGTTTTATAATTAATTAACTACAAAATGATTAATGATCTTTATTTTCTTTATGTCCCTAAAACATTAAAACAATTATATACTAATTTAATATATCACTAATTTGTTAGAAGCTTATTAAAACAATGTTTTAAAATGGCAAACTATTAATGTTATTTAAAATGTGAAAACAATTTTTATATTCTTCTAAACATTGATGTGCGTAACCAATCTTATTTCAGACTAATTATTAATTTATAACTACCTGGGTAGATATGATTATTTAAAGTTAAAAAGAAGCTATTCTTTTTAGAATCGTTGATGAAATTTAAGTGTTATAGGCGAGAACTAGAATGAAAACGTTTATTTTAAAGTACACGCTATCTTGTTTTACGTTACTTTAAATAAAATATTGCCTGTAAACAGTTGTACGAAACTCGTATTATGAAATTCACATCCACTCTTATTAAAATAAAAACCGTTGCATTTCTTTTGAATGAGTATAAATAATAATTGTACATTACTGGATATTATATAATACAAGATTGCTTTTTTAGAGCGACTATGTTTTATTATTTAAATATGAAATAACAATACTATAATACAAGTCATGAATAAAAACGATCTACCTTATTTTTCAAAGTTAAGAGTTAGTATACAATACTAACTGTCGACCATGCGTATAATTATAACTTAAACAATATCTGTACAATCCCGGGATATGTACCCGAGAACTTACAGACATTTGTATTTATCTTAATGTTGAAGGTATTGCAGTACTTAACACACTTGTAGGTATTCTCTACTGAATTAAAAATTAAAAAGTTGATTACCTGAGATTAGTTAAATATTATATTGATAATAACCATCTTTGTAATACTGATATAGTGTATAAATTAAAACAAATAACATTTAATTCCAATATGAGTAAAGTTTAATTTTTAACTAGTTTGAAAAATACAAATGAAGAAGTTTAATTTTATCTTGTTTGGTTTTAAAAATATTCTACCAAATACGATTATTAGTGTTTAATAACACATGACGAAAAATCAAAATGTCAAAATATACATACACTTTTATTATACTTGTAATCTATAGGTAATGGATGTAAATTGTTCGGCTTTTCCCATTAAGATTACTAAAAATTAATAATATAATAATTAATAAGAGTTCGGATGGGAGTGTGTTATGAACCACGTGTTTGTAGAAATTAACAGGTTATATGGATTCTGGATCGAGCTATGGATAGATTGGGAGATACACTTAAATCAATGTGTTTAATTACTTTGATATTATTTTTAATACATAATTCTAGGTGTTGTTTCTTTTTTCATGATGATGTAGTATTAATGTTATGCTTGTGTGTTTAATACGTGGTAATAAAAATATGATCACGCGGCGCTATTGATAGGCAAATCAGGGGCACCACTTTCATATTTTCAGTAGGTACCCATGTAATAACTATCACAATATTTACTTAATGTATAATTTAAATATTTTAAAATACAAGATATTATTGAGAGTAAGACAATAAGGTGAAATTAGTCACCACCATGTTTAGATGGTTAAGTGAGAATAACTGTTAAATAAAAATAAAAATAATAATTATGTTTCTAAAATCTAAATACATCGTAATGCATTACAATGAATGAATACTATTTCGAAGATAAAGTAATCCATAGCAACGGTTTTTTTTGTTATGGAACAATATTGTAATTAAAACTTTAATAAATCATAATCTATTTGTACAGTTATTATATTAAATAAATCGATTACCTAACTACTATTCACAACTTCACAAGTACTAAATTGTCTTATACAATTGAGTTCACAATGCATTGTAGCAACTATGAAAAATGTTTAACCTCTTTTGGCTACGGTTATTTTGCAACCATTATCACTCCTACCACCATAATTTTACTTCAGCCTATTTCCCCTTGGAGTGTTTTCAGCCTCAACGCTTGACCGCTGAATACCCAATATACATATGATTCTGCTGACTTAGCTGTCTATCTTCGACAGTGGTTTTCGCGTGGATCGATTTAATTCAAACGTCTGACCACTAGATCCCAGATATATACACTTCACCGAAATGACCGGGTTACGACGATTTAGGGACAACTGCCACGTGTGCAAAGAGATGTGGCTTGTAGAGTACCGGCTACTGCATCCAACCCACTTGTCACTTCTCAATTGCCAAGTATGAAATCAAGTTGCCGTCACATTATCATAACTTGGCACGGCAACGATAGATCATTCAGACCTAAACAGTGGTTATCAAAGTAAAATATACGTCTTTAAGGATTTAAAATGAACAATGCAATATCATACGCAAAAAAAAAAACTTAAATTTCTTAAATTTAGAATGACATTTTTATTTTATTTTAGATATTTTAAATAATTTCGAACATGTCGCAATAGTTTATTTTTATACATCAGTCATCAGCCAATCACTGTAAGTGGATAAATTAGTTTCCATTCATAAAAATAATTTGAGATATTTTCATTCATATGGAAATTGTATTTATAAGTTGTGAACAATTTTGTTGCATCTAAATTGAGAAAGCGTAAAGTGAAGAGGGAACATACATATTTAGGTATTATATATTATTTTATAAATTACCATCGCCTTTCAGTGAGTGGTGATAGGTTTTTGTCTAACAATCAATGGAATATTCCACTGACATTTTAACATGAGAATAATAAAAACATCAAGTGACCAATCGATGTGATGTATTGAACACATTATAGAAACATTTTTATGTTAATATAAACATATAATACACAAAATGCATATAAGTATAATGGATTTAATCTTTAATAGAAATCATGAATCTGAGAAATTAAGCAATAAATTAAAGAAGCTGTGAATACCTTATATACATATATATATTTATGACTTTAAGAGGGTTATTATTATTACTCGTAGTTTTTTACATTATACAATTTATATATTATACACAACATAATATTGTGCTGCATATTATTAAATCAATTAAACAAAAATAATTGTAATTTCATTCACATAATTTACTTACTATAATGTGGTATCGGAAATGAGGTCTTAAACATTGTTTTATTTAGTAATTAAAGTTATGGTGTTCTAATTTATTGAAGTGAGTTAAAACTCTGCTTGAATATAAAATTAGTGGCACGACATGGTGGCTACAAACTACAAAGCGCATAATTATTGTGACGTCACACCATTGGGTTGCTGCTAAATATTAATTATTATTTACGGTCATCAGAAATGCAAATCTGATGAGTTTTCCTTCAACAATATGAAGTTATCCATAATTTATTAATCAACACTGAAATTAACTAGATGTAGGAACCAGAAACATTTCAAATCGTAGGTAGTCAATGGAAATTCCTAAACTCCTTTATTTTGTTATAAAATACATAATACCTACACATTTTGTTTTCTCCTTTCTAAAATATTAAAAAAATAAAATGAAACAATATAATACCGAAATCATATAACGTATTAGATTCCTATATAACATATTTGATTTTATCATTTTTATTTCAGTGGTTTCACTTTTGTATTATTCGGTTTACGTGTACCTATTTGAACATCAAAAGGTAGCAGATAATTGAATCAACATTTGTTTTATATTGTCTCGTATGTTATAAAGTTTTTGATATTTTATTTTTTTATTTACAAGATTTCATATAAGATTTTATATTTTTACGTTACCTCTCTATTGCTTATTCGGTTGTCACTTATAAGTTATAAGTCCCCAAAAAACTTTCTTTTTTTTTTAATTTAAAACTAATATTTTTAACAATTAATTAACCAATAGAATTTGTACATTTATGCATACGTAATGGATGTAACTGTATTTTAGTCTATCAACTATTTGAAAAAAAAATTAATTTAACCATAACCAATTCTCTGAATTCTTACAATGATTAATTCATTTGTTTACCCAGACCGTAATACATTTACTATATAATACGATATACTGAATACGTACAACTGTATGTATATATAGTATATATAATTGTGACCTGATGTGGTGCGGTGGTTGCATTCAGTCACCACGAGACGTGTTCTGAGTTCAAGCATCGGCCGATGTCACTATCTAGTCCCCCGAATGGATGACCTGCAGTGACCACCCGGTTTTTTAGTGACAAATCCTAGCCACTCGAGCACGTGTTCCAAACCAACCGTGCCGCTTCAAACAGCTTATGGCCATCATATAGTTACCGGGTGTAAGATCAGTAGGAAAAAAAATATACACACAATTATAATTGATGTAATCGTATAACGCATATTAATATTACTCATTTGACGTACAAAGTTCATTCCGAGCGGATTAGTCGATCGATTATTGGTATCGTTCATCGTATATTTTCTCTTTTATACTTACGGTATTTGTCTGGTTCTGTTGCAGGATTTAGAATGAGGTCGTGGTTGCTGCTGATGGCGTGGTGTGCGGCCGCCGTCGTCGGTCAACGGCCCACTCCGAACAAGCGACACGATGTCTACATAGCAGGGTTCTTTCCGTTTGGTGGCCGTGTGTCCGGCAGCATACCCGAGGGCCGCGTTGGCCGTGGCGTCATGCCGGCCGTCAAACTGGCCGTCGACCACATCAACGAGAACCCAACACTGTTACGCAACTACCGGTTGCACGTTTGGTGGAATGACACCCAGGTAAGCCCCGTCGACTATTTGATTTATTACAATATGTTGCCGACCTATACCGACGTACCAAACAATCTAACATATTCGGCAATATATAATATAGTGGCATCTAATGGTTGGAAGTAAGGTTGGCACTGGAGAATTACGGCAACTGGGAATTCTCGGGAATTTCCGAAGGGTTGATGAGACCGAGTTGGTACCACGAATAAGAAATAAATAAAACGTTTGTATTTATAAAAGGGGTTTTTTTCTTATAATAGGTAGGTAGATATTTAATAGTTTTAATTTTAAATCGTAATTTTACTATAATAGAACAATGGTATTTATGCCAAGATACATATTAGTCAGTGGTCCAGTAAGCTAAGGAAATGTGAATCGTTCTAAAATTGCATAGGTTGAATAACCATTATTAATTTTCAACAATAAGTTCTATATAAAATATCTTTTGGGCCTTAGGTCATATGCGTTTAATTATTTATAATTGACTATAGCCACAACAATGTGTAACCGTATAACAGCATATTATTATTATAACTGCTATTATGTGTATAACTGCTGTAATACCGCGTAGATGATGTAATTTATCAGTCATCAATGAGCTCGAATTGTTGTCGAATTAATATTTTATATTCACTTTCAAAATATACATACATTACTTCTTATTTTTTTCTATAACATCGTCGTTTATAGTGTTGCTGAATATTTTGATATAACTCCAACAAAGTTGAATATAATATATTTAGTATAAGTATTTTTAATTCCCTCTTCTTACCACTCTCACTGCACTAGTAAGTTTCATTTATATAGGCAGATATAATAAGGATAAATAAATTTTAAATTTGAGATCAATGTGGTAGTATTCTTGATTTATTGATTCCAAGTACGGTTGGTGGACGATTTGCCTCGAGCTTTCGAAGAAAAGACCATGTCTCGAGGTTTGAGTGTCTTAAGTCAGGTGTCAAAATTAATCCACTTTTATTTGCGTTGATTACTTAAGGCATAAAATTAATGTTTTTGTGTCATTCAGACTTTTGGCGCCCGAGTACTGGGAGTATACTCTCAAGACTTTTGGTGAAAAACAGGCATATGAGTTTCCCTTACAACGCTTGTGATAAACTTTTTTGGTGTGTTCATTATGAATTTAAAGAATCTCTTATATTTTTCGTTAATAGAAAATATCCAGGGATCAGCGTATACAAACATACTGCAGTCACCGCGGTCAGTCGGCTTTTTAAAAGTTCCATCACGGTTTGGGCATAGAATTAATGTATTTTCAGTATTGAAAAATAAAAATAAAAAATGTTATACTTTACATGTAACGCAAACATATGTAAAGTATATAAAAAAATTATTGATTAGAACAAAAGTTAGGTGCCTATGTAGTTTGTCAGGTCTTTTTGTTCGACCTGCATTATACCTACGCCTTATAGGACATAGGTAATCGATTTCTTTAATGCATCACACATGCCATATATAATGTTTCGTTGTGATATTTTGTATAATATTTTATCAATACATTGTCCGATGTATATATTATAATATACACAATCGTTGTCAAATTTTAGTCGATATATTATTATGATGTTCCATATTGTAGTATATATAACTGCTTATTATAATACTGTTTTGATATTATAAATGTTAGCCTGCGAACACTATAAACTTGCGTGGGACTCGCAGTACACAATTAGCTCGATACATATACATATATATATATATATATATATATATAATATATATATGTCTGTTAATGCGCGTGCGTACAAAGCATATTGTGCGTGTACATTAATATATTGTTTAGCCCATTTGAAAACTATTATCGAACAATGCAGCGAATCCGCCGGGGTAGAAATCCTACATAAACGGTAAGAAACGAAATCGATATTGTGACGAGCATCTCTATAATAAACGATGCAGCAACACAATGTATTATATTATTATAATAATATATTATATAGTAGTATCAAAGTACGATTCACGGTGTCGGTTAACTTCATTAATAACCATTTACATGTAAATGCATATATACGAGTATACCTATTTATAATATGTAAGCTGTGCTATTCACCGTGTTATTATTAAATTATTATGGTAAACGGATTTAATGCAGATTATACGTATAATTATTATAATATTATAGATCCATCGAATTTTTCGAAAAAACTCGACGGTGTGGTTTCATATGGCATTCTCGTTTTGTATTATCTGTTCATTACTATTAGATGATAAAAAAATTGCTCTTATAATTATTATTAATTACATTAAAAATACAACAATATTTTATAACATTATACTACGAAAACAAATATATATTTACCTTTTTCTCACATAACTATAGTCTACAACTTTATTCGTCATTAAAATCATTCGTTATGGGAATTATATCAACTAGTAAAAGTTTATTATCGTACTAATCATATAATTTTATACCTAGTTATAAAAACTGATCGAAGGACGAATACAATTATAATATTTATGTACACTATTTCATGCTCATGCAGAATTATATTATGTTACAATCACCATGCAATATTGGCTGGTAAAATAATAATAATAATTTTCTGATTTTCATATAATTTATATAATTTAATAGTTTACAGGGGTGGTTGAATTGTATTAGTTAAAAATAATTAAGCTTTGCAATAACAGTAATACAGACTTTTTGTTGGAATCAGTGAATTTTCCTAACACAAGCAGATATTACATATACACCGCATCGATCAGAGGATATAAATGATTTTGATAATAATAAGGAGAACAAGAAATGTTGTTTTGAAAACTAAAAAGTTTCGTTTGTTATGCTCGTTGTAAATTGGAAAATATTTTACCAATTATTACTGAAATATGTTGTAAAAAAACATAACGTTATTTTTACATAGTTTTAAAATATGTAAGTACCTAAAATTGATTCAAAAAGAAAAATGTTTTGTTTAAAAACAAATGAATGATGAAAATAATAAACTAATTTATTAGTTATTACTGGTAGCTAGCGTAAGATATGCACAAGCAAGTTTTTTTTAACAATTACCAAGTGAACAAACAACTTAGAAGTTTTTTATATAAATTTACATTTATTAACTATATTTGGTTAATTTACATAGGCCTATAGTCAGTACACTGCTGAAGATATTTTAAAAGAATAACGTTATTTATCATACGAAATTAAGCACTATTTTTAATTCGTAACTTCCAATACATCCATCTGTAATAATTTCGAAGCAATCATTATTATGTAATGCATGAATATTATATATGTATACTAAAATAAAAAAACATAGAACTGCTGAGACCAATACGAACAAACCACAATTTAAATATACACTTGTCTACACAGATTTCAGTTAATTTTTGGGTGTCTGATTCCAATGGCCAGATAAAATGTGAAATCACATACACCTACTTGTCACGACCACCAAACGGTAACTCTATGCACCCAGTACTACAAATATAAACTTTAACTTCCTGATACCACTTACCTAATATATTATATAGGTACTGTACGAGTCACCTAATAAGTACCTCTCTGTCAGTGGTTTATTGGCATTCACTATTATAATTTCTAATTTCTAATGAAATAATTTACTAACAAACTCTTTCTCTTTCTATGTATTTCTTATCTCTCATTTTATATTCTAGTGGTTCGGACGAACGTTCGAATAACCAGACTCTCATCTAGTAATTACAAAGTCAACCGTCTAACTGGTAAAGTCAAATAGTTTTTAGCTGTTCTGTATTTATTTCAATTAGATGTTTTTAAATTATTTACGTGCATCCGTCATCGGTGTATTATTTTAATATTAACTCTGTTTATGAATAATAAAGCAACTTGAATTACAATCTGCTCCTCTCGAGGGATTGAGATAGTTGAGAGAAGTTTTGTAAGTCACCTAACACATGTATACACATTACACATAGGTACTCACGTCATATACTAATTTATTATATATAAATATGAACAAACGTACAAGCAATATAAAAAAGTACTCTTGAATTACAAAAAATAACAATACAAATCAAGACCAATAAATATACGAAACATAAAAAAACCAGCCTGCTGAGAAAATATATCTCTGTATTACATCCAATAATTGGTTCATCGTAATCACATGTAAAAAATATATGCCTACTGTCCTGCATTTTTCTCAATTCTCTCATAATTTCATATCCCCTTTCACCTACCTACCCTTAACCCACACTTCTTCCTCCTTTCATTGATTTTTATTCTACTACAAATATTGTTTATACCTATTTTTATTTTAAAATTAGGTACATACTTTATAAAATACAAACTTTACGTATACATGATACATCGACACTTATAAAATTCTTTCCTTTAATGGCATACAATGTATTTTATATTATTTATTTTTAGTACATATTAAACAGTTTTATACGTCTTATGGGTAGTTTATATTCTTACGGACAAAGGCTGTAAAAAATATAGTTCTGTCTTTATTTTGTCTTACCAAAATGTTAACTACGGTCACCGATAATGGCCCCTGAGAACCTAACCAAAAAACGAGCATGCAAATGGTTGGATCACGATCATTGTTTTAAAGGCATTTTTTATCTAAATATAAGTTACATATACAAAGAATACATTAACAAAAGATATATTACATAGTGACCTGGAATAAAATAATTATGTATAATGGAATTAAATAAGTAACGTTGAAGAATTATCACATAAGCTCTGCAGTGTTTTTCAGTTGAATTCAACTTCAATCGGCAAAGATATTTCTGCAGGTAACTCACTGGTAAAACTTTTTTCATAACTAAAGTTTTTAGTTTTTACAATATTATTATCGTTTTAAAATAAACTTCTGCCAGCACACAACCGGCTCTTTCAAAGTAGCTCAGCGTGGTGTCGAAAAACACGTATCCACGAAAATACGGTTAAAAGTTTTGTATTGGTTTCGCTAAAAGCGAATACAGATATATATTACATATTTCTGGACTTTTATGGCATCACACACATTCTGAAAAGAATAAACCTATGCGTGTGTGAC